AGCTGCAATAAAATCAATTAACATTTTCCTTACTCAATAGAAACGCTTGGAACATATTAAAGCAGATATGATTGAAACTAATAAATATGATGGTATGAAAGAGGAACCAACTAACAACAGCAAGAATCAAAATCACACACAATTAAGCAGCCAAAGTGAACACATCGCCGCGCCTAAGACCAGCGCTCATATTAGCCGTTTGATGAACTTGCGCAAGAAGGTAATCCTAGAAAATATTCAGAATTCATCCTAAAAATTCTTAACATATGTATGTATGCATGTTTGTTTGTATATGAAAACGAAGTGAATGCTTAATGTTGAATGTACAATTTTTATATGTTACTATCCATTGTTACTAACAGCATAACGACTAAGAGGAGTAAAGAATATGCTGTTTATTGTTAATTGGCAATATAAGTTTGTGGAAGTAAAAAATGATGTTTTTACTAAATTACTGGTTCGACTTATTCATATACATACACCTAATTAACAAACCGAATTCGCTATACTGTAAAACGTAATTTTTAAGCAAAAAACAAAACCGACTTCAATTCTCATTTAAAAATTTAAGATTATCGTTAATTTCTCCATGATCCAATGATCGAAGATTTAAACCAAATTGGTATGGGAACACCTGTGAGGTAACACCTTTCCTTAAAAAAAAAAGAATTATAGAAATCGGTTACCGTGGTCCAAAGTTATGCGGTAACATACATATCTAATAAAAAAAATCCTACGAATTGATAACCTTCCTCCTTTTTGTGAAGTCGGTTAAAACCCGTTCATCAAGACTTTGATAAAATCCTTTTTCTTGTGAGTGTTAGTTAAATAATCGCTTAAACTTATAGCAAAATAATGTGAATAACATAACGCTAAAAAATTTGCAGAATGTACTTATGACGAATGTATGCCAGAAAAAAACGGAAACTAAGCGCTATAAAAAGCTACATAAATTACCAAAATATGCTCTTAAATATGTTAAATCAATGAAGTTTAATTTAATTTTTCTAATATTTTTATTCAATATTCTCGGAATTGCGGTTTAGGAAACATGCTTTTTTAAATTATCAGTCGAAAATGGCATTCTCTTGTCATTTAAAATTGTTGAGTAATTAGAAAAACTCCTTTCCCCATCCGTAGATATAGTTGGAAAAAATTTAAATAAATCTAGTTCTGCTGGGGAGTATTTCGATAGTTGTGGAGCCAGTGAATAATACGTATTTTATTTTAGCAAAATCCAAATTGTTCATATTATCAAGATTATATTATTCCATATACAAAGGTAAATTGCTTTTTATTAAATTTTGTATGCATTTCATTCATTGCAGTCTTACAAAGTAAACAAATCTGGAATATGAGTTCTTTAGAACACATTTTCATAATATATGAAGCTTCACAAACGAATCAACGCAAGGCACGGGTTATTTTAAAACTGACAGAAAATTACATGGAAACAATAAGCAAAACTAATTCTGCAGCAGCTGTGTAACCAATATATGATCTAAACATACATTTTTTTTTGTTTCTTTCATGATTTTATGCTCTTAAAGCATTCCATTTTTGAGAATTAGGATGCTCACGCTATACAGCGTTTCAATCGTTCATACTACAGAGTAGCCAATATAAAAAATAGACTGTTCACCCAAGCGAGTATTCATGGTACCCTATGTTCATGCTACCCCGAGTTCACTGTACTTTCAACTTTTGGTGAATATATGTACATATACATAGTTACCTTAACTCGCAAAGGGCCTAACCAATAATTTTTTTCACAGGTTTTGGGAGGGTATATGGAAATACACCTTCAATAAAAAGTGTTAGTACCAGAAACAACGCAGTTACATGCCAATTTTTAAAAAGCCCTACCTGGTTTTGATATTATTCTATATTTATTGTTTCTCCTGTAAAATAAAAAAAAAAATGTTGGTTACATAAGGCCTTTGTGAATTAAAATTTCGATATGTATATTTGTGTTCAACCTTTAGTAATGTTCTTTCACAGTCGTCGCAGTTTTTAAACTTTCTTTCAGTGTCAAACCTTTTGTTTGAAACTTTTTAATACCTACTATCAAACAACCAAAATTTGCCTTAATGAACTCCAACTTGTTTAACGCATTTCTATCGTTTTCTCTCCCGAAAATTAAAAAAAAAAATTTCTCAGATATGCAAAAATGAGCACGCAAATCAAATATATTCAAAAACAAACAAAATTGCAAGATATATGCAAAATAAGCTTTTTAAAGCATTTGTTTAGATTTGTCAGCCTTGCTTATGATTGACAACTGGTTCTACTTTTTCCCATAACTCATGATTTGTTATCTTCAAAATCTCTATAATGGTTCATTAGTATGAGGGTAAAACTATGCAATGCTCTTTTTCAGGTTAAGGATATTAAGAAAGACTCGCAATTCGAGCTCACTGATTCGAGATCACGTTTGTGGCCACCTGCAGAGGTTTGTTTGAAATGATCAAACGCTTGTAAGGGTCTAGCAAGTACAACACTGTAATTTTTTTCTTTTTAAGTCGCTTAACGAAAAATCTACATTCCATGGCTTACGTATGATACCAGCTGGCTTCGATATCACCAACCTGAATCATTACAAAGACGAAAAGAATCATTGGCATCGTAAAGCGACCACCCGTTTTGATTATGTACCACATGACTCTCATATACAAGAACTGAATGAAGAGGAACATACGAATCATCGTTCGCGAGGTCGACATGCCGAAAGCTCATCAAAGCAAAATAAGAGCATTTTAGACACAACTGTGCCAAAACTAAATGAGGATCCTATAGACTTTGGCAATTTCTCTAGTCATGAGGTAAAGAGCAGCATACCCAAAGCGGAAGAGCAGCAATCATCACCCAGTGGAAGCAAGTAATACCCAGCAAAAGAAATTTTAAATCCGATACTAATACAATTGTATATAATTTGAAATATTTCAGTTTAAGCTCCCCTGCTCCGCGAAAATATGGTAGCCGCCGTTCGCTTAAATCTCCATCTGCTCAAATAAATAAAATTGATGAAATACTTCGCAGTGCTTATGACGAAAAGGAAGGTGGCAATGATGAGATACTGGACTTGAAAAATCTCAACTCCAGCGGCTGCAAAGATGAGTCTGATAACACGGAGCTGTATTCTGCTGAAGACGGAAATAACGGCGGGTCTACGTCGGGAAATGAACAATTTTCTTCTGATCAGCATTCATCCAATAACCGCTCATTGATTAGAAGTCGCTTGCAAAAAAAATTGACTGCACAACATGCACACTTAAAGCATATAGAAGAACAACTAACGTCCGAACTGAATGGATCTAAGCCCGAATCCTTTCGTGTTCAGTTGCCGCAAGTATGTGACTTACTAGAAGTTGAGGGTGAGCATAAACTAAAAACTAAATTCATTGACCATTTGGTGCTGGCCCATTCTAAAGTGCCGCTAACCTCGCTATCAACCATATCAGAAGCGTTCTTTCTCAAAGAGATACACGACGAAATGGAGAATATGCGTGTTACCAAGCTGTATCGCATACAAGCTTACTCTTGGCCGCACTTGTTGCGTGGAAATTCACTCTTTGTCGTGAACCCAAATAAGTCTGGCAAAACATGGAGCTATTTGCCTGCGATTTGCAGTTTGGTGGCTTATCGCATACAAAGTGGTCGCCTAGCCGAGACTTATGGTCCTGTCGCTATAATCTTAGTCGCCACTTCGGCACATGTTGAGGTTGTGCATAGCCATTGTAAGCGCTTGCTTTTAGGCGTGCGGCCGGCAGTGACGACAGTTCCCTCATATGGAATCCGCAATGCAAATGATGCAAAAATCCAATTGCTTAATAGTTGCGGCATATTGATAGCGACGCCAGCTAGTTTATTGCGTCTTTTGCATGATAACGAAAATGAATCGTTAATTGACATAGAGCGGCTCAAGCACTTCGTTATTGATGATTTAGATTTGATGCTTTCGCGTTCTCAGGACGATATAGAAACGGTTTTGAAGACGTTCTTCATTATGTCTAAGCGTAGCGGGAACAAAGACACAGCGCAAGCAAACTTGGGTTGGCAGTTAGTGGTAACATCACGTGATTGGGATTCGTTGCTTGTGGCATTGATGCGTAAATCAAACCAACCGTTGCTCTTAATAGGAGATTTTCTGGAGGCGGCTGTGTACGGCAGAGTGATGATATCTATTAAACTGTGTCCCAGCGAGCGTAAGATCGGGACAATTTTGGAATTTATAGAACAAAACGCACTGGAAAACGAACATATTCTTGTGCTGTGTAACAGCGACGATGATGTCTATGAAGTGGTGGATGCGCTTACTACCTCCGCGTATGTGTGTATTGCCTACGACAGCCACGCTTCATCGGATGTGCGCATCTTAATCGAGGAATGGAAGAAAAAGAAGGTAACACACTTGAATACTACGTTTTTCATTTAATATTTATATGAATATTTTAATTTTAGGTAATGTCCTCGCGCATCGTAGTTTGCGCCGATTCCTCGTTTACAGATCTACGAATCCAAAATGTGTCATATGTCATACATTTTTCCATGCCCACATCTTGGACCAAATTTACAGCACGCTTTTCAGCATTAGCGCAAACCTATGACAATTATGTAAGTAAGAATTTCGAGATGCCCACTGGCTCGGACCGACCAACCGCGCGCTCCTTGATATTGCTTGACGAAGAGAATAGCATTCAGCTGCCGCGTTTGATGGATTTCATGAAAAGGCATGATCAATTGAGATTGATACACGCAGATATTTTAGCTGTGTCCAAGCGAGTGTTGATTGAACGTGAAGAAGGGAGAATACTACAAGGCACACGTATGTGCCCTTATGTACTTGAATTTGGGGAGTGTGATGAGGCGCGCTGTGACTTCCGTCATAACCTTACGCGTTTCGATGCAGTTTCTAAAAAGGATCACATTCCCACAGCCGGCGACATCCGCATACTAATATTAAAAGTTTGTAGTGGTCAAATTTCCAGATACTGGAATTTGTGTAACAATTTTTATTTTTTTTGTTGGCATTTTCAATAGGTATTTTCACCCACTCATTATGCCGCCCGTTTGCTACAACATCGCTCACCAAACTCCACCAAATGGAAAGATATTCGACGCTCCAAGGAAGTCTGCAATTTCAGCATGCAAATGAATTTGCATTATTTGAAACGAGAGAATTGGAATATGCATTGGCCACTACATATAGGCGATTTGTGTATTTACAAATATGCGGATTCGTATCAACGGGCTCGTATTCTTGAATTGCCAGATGTGCGAAATACGGACATTATTAAAACTATAAAACTAACTGTGAAATTGATTGACGAAGGTAGCATCATTTCTAGTGTTAAATCCGATGAACTTTTCGTGTGCCATGACAAATTTAAAGACTTTCCTGCGCAAGCAATTAACATACGGCTCTCAGGTGTCGTTCCATTCGACAACGAGCGCACCTGGGATACGAAGGCCACTAAAACTGTACAAAAGTGGATAATGACCGATATTAAAAAGAATGAGTGCGTACATGTAAGCATCAATTTCACACTTACCGACACAGTTTGGATAAACAACGTAATTGTGATGGAGCAGCTCGAAAAGGTGGGACAATATGTGTACCATTTGAATTTGAAGCGCTCACTGTTGGAGAAAAATATTGCGTCAGCAGCTGATTGCAAACGACAGAGCATACGTGAAATAGCAAAAGAATTACAATTACTTGCAAGTGACGATGCAGATGCCACAGTTAGTGACTCTGAAATGGATTTCAAGAGTTGTAGTGAGCACGATACAAGTAACCTAATAAAATTTTCCTCTAATGATGTGACTATGGAAAGTGAAATGCTACTACAGGCGGACAATCAAGAAAAAAACATAAAAGAGGTGCAGAAATCTGAAGAGCCAACCAAAACCAATGGTGTCAAAGAAGATGATGAACAAGAAGATTGGGATGCACAATTAGGTGCTAATGAGGTTAGTGTGCCACAATTGAAAGTAAGCAGACGAGTTTTGCGACATCGACAGCGAAACGGTTTACTCAGTCAAATGTGATGTGATTAAAGAATATTTCGACTTATAGGATAAATGCACATAAAAACAAGCTCATAGGGGTTAGGTAAGGCAGCGCAGTCGAAAAATGGGGACTTAATTGAATGAATTATTGAATGACCAAATTCTAAGACAGAAAGCACTTTAACATACTAAAAGTATTAAAAATGAGTCAATATGTGCGCGGAAAACAAACTAAAAAGTTCGTGGGTGGATATTTTAAGAGCAGTTTGATATTGCAGACAAGTTTGTAATTACAATTGTGGAAAATCTACATACTCCATTATCATAACACTTTCCAAACGTTCGCAAGCGTTTGATATGTCTTTCAAATCAACGAAACATTCTCCGCATCATTTTCGACTGTGGACCTGCTATTTTTAATTTAAAACGCTCATATCACGACACTAATGAACTCATTTTGCAGATTTATTTGCCCCTACGAACAGACGACGCCCCTGAAAAAAACGATCCGGTGCCAACGACAATATTGTCTCAAATTGATCAACTCGACGTTTTAACCACCAAAACATGGAAGGAAGAGTGGCTTGAATTGCCCATAGAGGAGATTGTTAAGGTGGAAATTGGAAGTGAGGAAGAAAATGGTAATTGGGGTGACATTTATTTGCAACATGTCAGCGATGAACAAATGCAAATATTCGATGAATTACTCGAGTTAACCAAATCTCACGTAAGACAGTTACAGCAAAAGACGTTAATGCCGTTTCCTGCATCTTGGTTCAAGCCTATGCAAAATTGTATCGTACACTATGAAGATAGGTACTTGCGCGCCAAGCTGTATGGCATATTTAGTACCGATTCTTCAATTGGCGCCTCTTCTTCGTCTATATATCGTTTCTTTTTATGCGATTACGCATGTTTCATAATGGCAAAACCTGAAGATTTGTATAATGACTTTTTGTATCCAACCACCAAAGAAATAGTGGAGTTTACACCTTATCAGGCGGTGCATTGTTCTCTTGCTGGAATTCAGCTAAATCGATTTGCGAAGACTTTCAAAGTAACCAAAGATTATCTGTTTGCATATGCGGTAAAAGCACAAGAAACAACACCGGTAGACATACCTGACTTCCACATAAAATCTTACGCAATTCTGTTGTATGAAAATGAAACAGAAAACGATTTAAAAACGATTGAAATGCTCAATAAAGCTTTAATTAGTAACGGTGTTGCCACTGTAGATGAAAAAACAAAACACTTTCTGAATATTAAAATAAAACTACCGGAAGTACCTAAGGATTTGTGTAATTTTCATGAACTTTTGTGCTGCATACAACGCTCGTTTCAACTAGAGATGGAGGAGGCTAAGTACTCGGTATCTCCATCACCATTGCAAGCAATTGAACCACCTAAACTTCAAGCACCACAAGAAAAGGAGCCGGTCACCGGTAGTGTCATTAATCCGCACAGACCCTACAAATCATTAAATTCCAAACGTCATGGCGTTTCTAGCGGTAGTGATGAAGAGCCCTTGCTATCGTCGACGACCAAAACTTCAAGCAGCAGCGATAACGATCAGTCATTTAGCTCACCATCCACAGCACATGATACCACATCCTCATCGATATCTAGCTGCGCGCCTCCACCAGCATTACTAACGAAACACAAACGCCCACATGTTACCTGGTACGATACAGATTGTTTCATCTATTTGGTCATAAACGCGCCCGATATTAACGACTATTACCTAGAAGTAACTGCTGACAGCTTGGTATTTTACGCCATAATTAACGATCAACCACATGCACTAGTGCTCAACTTTCTGGGTATTGTGGAGCCTTCGTTGATTTCACACGAAATACGCGGTTTAAATGTGATGGTGCGTTTGGTCAAGGGCGTATTCATGAAGTGGCCACGTCTATTGCAACAGTCGATGCGGTACCCATGGATCACTTTCAATTTGAACGCCATTGATTTGACGGAGGTGGAGAAGTTGCTGCCACAACAGCAACTGGAAATGATTCTGCAGAAAACAGCAGCACTTAACCGCAGCGACAGTTATAGTAGTGATGAATCTGATGACGAAGAACGCAATCTATTTCAAACATTTACACCCATAATTAACAGCGAGGATATACATGATCCCACTGTTGAGATATTTTGACACCAAAAGGCAATGAATGGCTTGGATCGTCGGCTTGGGAGTTTTGTATTTGGCATTCAGATGGCGTTCGGCTTGCATTTCTAAAATGTTACCCATTCTTAGACAACGAATTTAAACACATTCATATTTTTGAATATACCAAATAACTGTTTTTTTTTTGTTTTGAGAATTTCTTTTACTATTACTTTGAGTAACTACTTGTATAAAATTTTAAGAAACCTACAAGCATACATTAATAAGTGACTTTTGAATGAAATTCCGCTGCGTTAATATGTACATATTTACATTTATCGTATACATACACACCATATATACCTTAAGAATTTCGAATATAAGTTCTGGGATTTCCAAAGCTAATAGTTTTTGTTCTGAATAAATGTATAAAGAGTGATTCTTATACTCGTATGTAATATGAAATTTTTTTTTGTTTGGGAGGGTCTGGGATTAAAATATATACATACTAGCAGACCCGGCGAACTTCGTCCCGCCCAAAATTAATTTTTTTATTGGAACATTTGGTCCAACGTTTTCGCCAGCAATTCACGTTCACGTCTGGTTTTGTGGTCGACAGAAGGCATATCCTCCATTGCCGTCTTAAATAACCTGACGAAAGCGTTATACCGGGAAGAAGTCCTTGCGGCTCGATAGTGAATCGTCCTTGAATCTGTATAGTATAGTTGGTGGAATTTTCTAAACTGGAGAGTATCATTGGTCCACATTTTGTTTAGTCCCCGTAAGCAAGGACCGCAATGGTTCTGATGGTTGATTTAACGGGAGTAATTTAACTTTGATCCCTGGCGCCTCCAAATCGACTATTTGTAGCAATAACTCGGCTCCAGCGCCACTAAAAATTATCATTAAAATCGTTTCGGTCGTTTAGGAGAAGTTAAGCCACCAGAATAAGTATTTTACATACATTTTTTCCCATACAAAAAACTCTCACGCATTAGTTATACGGAGAAAATGCGCAACATCATCAGCGAAAAAAATTCTCAAAAATCAACGGTATCTTATAGCCATTAAAAACTTGCACTTTATGATACTGAAATTGAGTGAACTATAAAACTGCATACTCAAAATTTGGTGCCATTTGATGCAAAATGAACTATATTTCTATAAAAAATTGGCAAAAAAATTTATTATGAAAAAGAAAAAACACTGTATTCTGGGTGTATATATTTACAGATAGGTAAAAGTTTCAATATGTTTGGAAAGCGCCATGTCCCTTTTCCAGTAGCCCAAAAATCTCTATATCAATTTCCAGGACACTACCACAAATACTTTCAGAGATATACGGTATGAAAAATTCGATATGTATGGGTGATGCCACGCTCCGTTAATATATCGAAAGTCTGCAGTAGTGTCCAAAATTTCAAAAAATCGGTACAGCCGTTCGCGAGATCAACTCTTATAAAAAAAGGAACTTTTCTTTTTATAATTAGTGTAGTTAACACAGGCCAACACCAATTTGCGGCAAATGTTGAAGCTGGTTTTGATAGGCTTTTTTGTGCTGATTAAGAATGCATAAGTATAAAGTTTCCATCAGCTGCAGATTTTGAGAAAAATGTGATGAAAGTGTCAAAAAATCGGGTTTTTTGCAATATTTGAGAAGCTCTTGCAATGAAACAAAAGATGATAGAACCTTCCACTTGATTCACAATTATCCGAAATTTTCCAAGCTTTCGTCGAAAAAAAATCAAATTTTTCGCGTTCTTCCGGATTTTTCCAAGTTTTCCACTTAGAATTTTATATTTTTCCATTCGAAAGCCATTCAGAAGGATTTGCACACAAAATTCCATACAAAAATATAAAATTCCAATTTTTCCAATTTCCCGACTTTCCCGGAGGGTTTCCCCAAAATTTTCTTTCCCCTGGCAATTACGAATAACTAAAAAAAATGTTTGCCAAATCGGCCCAACCGTTCTCAATTGATGAATTACTATACATTTTTCACACCATTTTTATACCCGAGCGCACTTGTGCACAAGGGTATATTAATTTTGTTCACATAACGGTTGTTTGTAACAGCCAATACGAATCGAGATAGATATAGACAAATGTATACATAAATGATCAGGATAAAAAAAGAAATCGATTAAGCCATGTCTGTCTGTCCGTCCGTCTGTCCGTCTGTCCGTCTGTCCGTCTGTCCGTCTGTCCGTGTACACGATAACTCGAGCAAAAATTGAGATATCTCAACGAAATTTGGTATGTAGGTTTCCCTTAATCCAAGGTAGGTTGCTATTGAAAATGGGCGAAATCGGACTGTAACCACGCCCACTTCCCATATAACGGTAATTTCCAGAAATACGAAAACTGCGATATTTTAGTAACTACTGAAGATAAATCACTCAAAATTGGTATTTACAATAATTTTTTGACAAAAAATAATAATATTATACATTTTTGGAAAATGGGCGTAGCCACGCCCACTTATGGTTACATGTGTATATCTTGGTAACCGCTGTACCAATTTCTACCAAACTTGGCACAGTTGTCGGCCTTCGTACAGCATACAAAATCGTCTAAAATTTTTAAAATCGGACGATAACCACGCCCACATCCCATATAACGGTAATTTAGAGAAATACAAAATCTTCGATAAATCAGTAAATATTGAAGCTAATTTATTCAAAATTGATGCTTGCAACAATTCTTTACCAAGAAATACGTTTGTGATAAATTTTTGGAAAATGGGCGTGGCACCGCCCACTTATGATCACATATATGTATCTCAGTAACCGTTCTACCAATTTGTACCAAACTCGGTGTGGTTATTGTGCTTGCCACATATAAGCAAACCGTTGAAAATTATTGAAATCGGACTAAAATAACGGCCGCTTCTCATATAACGGTAAATGTCAGAACTGCTTGAAACTTCAAAATTTCGAAATCTAAGGACTCTAATTTACTCAAAATTGATACGCCCCGGCTTACCATATAGCCGTAGCTTTCGGTAAGGCGAAAAACATATATTTAATACGTGCGCCGGGTATTTAATGTTCGGCTCTGCCCGAACTTAGGCTTTCTTACTTGTTATATATATAGATAAGGAACAGCTGTTCGTAAACGGCGGTTTCCGACTGAATTTCAGTTTTTTTGCAAAAGTATACATACCTATGTATCTTTTCCTGTCATAAATATATCGATGGTCCTCTACAATAACGACACAATTCAAAATTCAAAGAATAAAAACTCATACTATTGTTAAGTGGCTCATGTATTTAATCGTTGTCTTATTCGTGTATAATCTTTACTACTTCCTTTAGTTAGAATCAGACATGGGTTACCCAAGGATTAGAGATATGAGCTTCTTAACAGTAATAAGGGATTTGATTTTTTGAATTTGAGTTGTGTCGTTATTGCAGAGGACCATCGATATGTGAATTCATATATTTCGATAATGAAATAAATTCGAGCATAAATACGATTTTTAGTTACATACATATGTAACTCAATTTCAGTGCCACCTCACGGCAAATTTTTTTCGAAAGGATTCTTTTTCCTGTTATCAATACATATTTTGAATCTGAGGATAATCGGAACATAAACCCGATTTTTAGTAATAACTCGACTCCAACGCCACCTGGCGGCTCTTTTTTTCGCAATGGTATTGGTTTTTCTATTGTAAATACATATCTAAAATATGAGGCGAATCGGACCATAAATATGGGGTTTACTAATAACTCGACTCCAGCTCCATCTAGCGGTTGTTTTAATAGCTATTCTGCTATTCGGAAGGTAGACAATTTCAAAAAACAAATATCATAGAAATCGGTCCAGCCGTTCTTGAGTTATAAATGGTGTAACTAACTGTTTTATATATATTGATTTGGGTTGGGGTGGTTGTAGGTGTTCTGAATATGTTTTAGTGGCACTTGATGGCCACAATATTTTTAAACCTCCCCAAAGTTTAAAGTTATTGAATATTTTTCCACTTAAAACTACAATTTTCAAGGTTTTGACAAGTGAATTTGAATTGAGCAAAAATCCATTCCATTCTTGTAAACATCTTTAAATTTTTAAATACATTTATTGAATAAATTTAAAGAACGATGCTGAAAGTAGGATAAAGGGGGCGCGAGTAAAACCAGAGTGTTTTTAAAAGTTTTCACATACTGGGTCCGAAAATAATATTTAAAGAGCGTGTATCTTGAAAATTTAAGGAGATATCAAAAAAAATACGCAGATAGCTTATGGGCCAGATTGGTTAATAGGCTATTTTTTAAGAGTTGCCACCTGTTAAAAAAGTTTAATTTATTTAATATGCGGGAACGACTGCATGGATTTGCATGAAAATTTGCACACAGATAGCTTATGACCTAGATTGGAAAATAGGCTACTTTTCTTAAGAGTTGCCACCTGTTAAAAACATTTCATTAAATTAATACGCGGAAACGACTGAATGGATTTGCATGAAATTTTGCAAGCAGATATCTTATGACCTACAGTGGAAAATAGGCTAATTTTTTGAAGAGTTGCCACCTGTTAAAAAAGTTTAATTAAATTAATACGCGGAAACGACTAAACGGATTTGCATGAAATTTTGCACACAGATAGCTTATGACCTAGACTGGAAAATGGGCTACTTTTTTAAGAATTGTCAACTGTTTGAAAATAAAATTCTGCTCAAAGATGGTTTATGACCTGGATTGAAAAATAGGCTTAGGCTTCCTTAACCGGTTTTCCGATCAGAACAAAATTTAGTACACTTACTACGGATTTCGGAAGGATGGTCTTAGACTGAAAGTAAGTCCGATAACTCAAGGCCCCTCCCATACAAATTGGAATTTTCATATTACATACATATCTCTGGAAGTATTTGTGGGAGAGAACTGAAACTTGGTATAGTGATATGCATGTGAAATCAATGTTGGCATTAATCGATTGATGTTTTAATCAGTTAGTTAATTCGATTAAATTCAATCTGATTACAGTTAATCATGATTAATTTTAATCTGACTAAACAGATAATCGTAACCGCGATTAAAAAATTAATTTTTAATCATTAACTCTTAATTTGATCAAGTAGGTTTGGTGATTAATTAAGTTATGCTGGAATTTCCCTGTGAACACAAAGCAAGTTAATCCGGTATGGCTAAGTCGGGTTTCCTCATCAATCTAAGCAATTTGGTGTGCATTTTCATTAAGATATATACCAACAAACGTTTTACAAACTAGGTTTGTAAAAGTTCCCAGTTTATATATTACTAATAACAATAATTATAATTTTTTTATATTATGTGCTTTTTATAAGCGTAATCGGTTTATCTTAACACATACCTGCCATGCAAACTTAACCCCAAAAACGCTTAAAAATGCCATTACTACGATATAAGGTTACGTTAAAAGTCGCAAAGAAAGAAAGAAAAACACACTGCATAAGTGATTTAAGTGATTGATTTTGAGT